ACTAGCTTAGGACACTCACACAAAGCTCAAGTTATGACAGACTAGAAATTTTTCCTCCCAATCCACATGGAGGTATTCTACCATGGCATCAACAGTGCAAGGGTTGCTTCCATATTCCTCCAAGCCATGACTATTGCCAGCAGATTAGAAGGCCAGAAGTGTCCCTCTCAAAGCTACAATGCTGGAGATTTTCTGGGGTTTAAGGCTTTGAGAACACCAAGAGGAGTCAACTGGAGAAGTCCTTGGCTTGTGGTGTTTGTATCTTGGACACCTGTGTGCCAACCAATACATTTATATCATCCCAAGTGACTATTTTGCAAGGCACAAGGCAGCGGTGCTCAGACTCAGCTTTTATGAGATTAAGGAGGCTCAGAGTCCCTGGCCTATATGTTCTTCTGCTACCACTCTCTGCTACACTAAAATCCTCCGCATCCCAGGGAGCCATTGGTGAGAGGCAAGTGTCTTGTTCATCTTGAGCTAGCTTAGAACTTAACTGGCTGTACTAGGCAGCAGGCTCCCTCTCCACAACTAAAAAAAACCCTTAAACAAATGGTCCTGTAGCACCTTGGAGACTAACAACCAAAAAACTCCAGCCATCTGAAGTGGGCTGTGCCCACGAAAGCTCATGATACTATTGACATGTTTTGTTAGTCTATAAAGTGCTACCAGACCATTTGTTGTGGGTTTTTTAAAAATTTGTATTTAGAGAGACACTCATGAGTGTCTTCCTGGGCACAACCCACTTCTTTAGTTGACAAATACACCCCTCTCCATGACTGTTAGGCATGGATGCACCATTAAAGCCTTCTTGGAAAGAGTAGCCAGAACACCCCAAAGATCTGAGATCTTGCACAGCTGTTGCCATGAGAAGTCGAGGATGATCACACAGGACTGGCACTTAAAATGGGTAGCCCTTCCTGAAACTGTTTAGTGAGGGAGAAGTGCTGACAGGAGAGACTTGGACAAACAGCCTCATGTGTTACATTTAACCTCCTTGATGCCAATTCTAACAATTCAGGTGGGTAATAGCTTACTTCTCCTAGAAGCTTTATAGTATTTGCAGACCCTTGATTGGTTAGCAACAAGACTGCAAACTCAGGAAGGAAGTGACATTTGAAAGGATCTTAGAGTTGCTGATAACTGAAGTCCTAACATGGAAGTTGACCTGCCAGTTTTTGGCCACTTCCCCTTACCAAGGGAAATATTCTGTGCCAAACTGGATTTGTCGAGCCTTTGGAAGATGGATTCTCATAGACATTGAAGGATTGAGACAGTCTTGTGCAAGAGGTCAGACATGGGTGGCTGAGGGTCTGGCCAGTACTCTTGTATTGGGGTTAGAGGTTAACCTCTGGCAGAGTTACTGGTGCCCTCAAGTCATGGGAGATTGCGAGTTAGAAAGAATCCCCCATTTACACTTGTTTAAACCTGCAAGTGGCCCTGTGCAACATGCTGCAGAAAAAAGCAAGAGAAAAACAAAAATCCAGGGTCCCTGCCAATCTGGGAAAATTCCTTCCCAACTCCCAACACGGCAGCCAGTTTGACCTTGGAGTATTGGAGCAAGACTCACCGGGCAGATGCTACAGAGATTTTTCCCATGTAACACAGTCTTCCCCATCTAGTGTCCTGTCTCCAGCAGTTGAGGATTATTGCTACTGGCAACAGCCAATGGGCCGTGTGCTATCATAGGCAGTGCCACCGTAAACATACCAAAGCTCAGTCTTCAAGCAAATTAGGCTTTTGGCCAACCCTTCTCTCCTTGGAAGGCTCTTCCAGAACTTCACTGCTCCAATATTAGTCTCAAAAGTAAGTGAAAGTTTCTAAGTTTGCTGATGGGCTGTTTATACCCTTTGTCCTTGTGTTCATACAGGTGCTTAATGTCAATAACTCCGCTCCCCATTGTATTTAAGGAGAACAATTGTATCTCCAAGACTTTTTGGCTCAAGAAGCCAACCTGAGTCCTCCTAATCCATTCCTCTGATCATCCTAGTAGCTATTCTCTGCACCCCTTCTTGTTTGAATTCAGCTTTAAGACGGCTGTTTATACCCTTTGTCCTTGTGTTCATACAGGTGCTTAATGTCAATAACTCCGCTCCCCATTGTATTTAAGGAGAACAATTGTATCTCCAAGACTTTTTGGCTCAAGAAGCCAACCTGAGTCCTCCTAATCCATTCCTCTGATCATCCTAGTAGCTATTCTCTGCACCCCTTCTTGTTTGAATTCAGCTTTAAGACAGCGGGGGGGGGGGGAGGGGGGAAGAAGAGAGGAGATCAACAGCCCCTAGTCTAACACTTCCCAGTCTCTACTGGAAATACCCAATCTGAGGCATCCTATGAAAAGCAAATGCAGTCCTATCTACCCCATATTGATGGGTCAGTCATCCTGTGGTCAGCCACTACAGTGAGATCTTTTCTACCACTAACTGAGCAAAAATTGCTGTTAGCTCCTAGATGTATGACCTTGCACTATCACTCCCATTTATAAGGTCAGCCAGATCTTGTTGGATATTCCAGTTAGGGATGTAAGCAACTAGTCGACTATCCAATAAGCATAAGCTTATTGGATAGTCAACTAGTGATGACTAGTTGCTTCCTCTACCTTCCTGCCTTATCAGCACCAGATTCCATCTTCCTTTCCAAGTGCAGACTAATTGTTCTCATCAGCCTCTTGTAACTAGTCTTTGAAATGCTACTAGACTAATCATTGAGGTTTTTCCTGTTACAGACTCTGCTATCCCTCTGAAGTGTATCTACTCACTGCCTGTTTTTCTTCCTTCCCCCCCCCCCCCCATTTATTCTTGGATCTGAACTTCCAACACTCCGGTCATCTGAAGAAGTGGGTTGTGCCCATGAAAGCTCACGATACTATTGACATGTTGTGTTAGTCTTTAAAGTGCTACTAGACTATTTGTTGTTTTACATTTTTCTTGTTACAGACTAACTCAGCAACCCCTCTAAAACATTTTGATATGCTCGTGTCATTAAGGCCTGTCCCCACTCAAGGTTTAGGTCCACACAGCTACATTGGTTAGGATATGAAATCCACAAGGCAGCTACGTCAGGCTAACTTTGGAGCAGAGATGCAGCTAGGTTGATGGAAGACAACCTTGCTACCATTATTTGAGGAGGTTCCCACTGCAACAGGAAGACCCCTTCCCTAGGCACAGGCTGCCTCAATACCACAGAATTACACAAGCCTAGCTGTGCTGCTAGAGTTTGTGTTGGGTATGCCTGTGCTAAAAATAAAATAAAAAAATCCCATACGCTTCATGCCATAGGCTCCTCTGAGACTATGCCCAGAAGTGCCCGATTTGTGCAATCCTTCGAGAACAGAAACGGTGGCAGGTTAGTTCCTTCCCTCCCAGAACAGAGCCCTGACCACCACACCCAGCTACTTAAAAGTCACCAGGGTTCACCAGCGTGCACCCTCCATTCCCAGCACAGAAGAGTGGCAGCACGTTTGCTACGTCCCATGGTAGCGGGTGAATGGGGCCGTTTTCTTGCGGTACAGGATTTATTGGTTTAAAATGAAGTGGTCCTGAGAGCCATGCTGTGGAGGAAACAGAGCTGCTCGTGAAACAGGAGAGCCAGATGAGGAAGAAGGAGTGTGGCACATCTTATAAGCTCACCGATTAGTGACCAAACTGTTCAGTTCGCTAGCTAGCTTAAGCTAAATACAGGACTGTGTAGCACTTTAAGACTAACAAGATGGTTTATTAGATGAGCTTTTGTGGCCCAGGGGTCTGGCCCACGAAAGCTCATCATCTAATAAACCATCTTGTTAGTCTTAAAGTGCTACACAGTCCTGTATTTAGCTTCCGCTACACCAGACTAACACAGCTACATTTCTATCACTATTCTGCTAGCTAGCTTAGACATTTGTGGGGGCAGAAGGATTTCCCAGGCTAAGCATGGCTTCCATTCATGTCTGCTCCAGTGTAATTAAAGTCAGGGAAGCTGTCTCATCAGTTGCAGCCTTAAAAAGGGAAACCCAGACAGGTGGGAGGCCATGGAGGAGTCTACTTTAGGGAGGCACCCTGCCATAGGAGCATTAGGGCTGTGCCTTCCAGGAGACCAGAGTCGTACTGATATACATGGTGGGAGTGATGAGGAAGCAATATATTCCAGCAGGCTCGTGGGAAGGGAAGCACGAGGCTGAAGTTACCCATAAGAGGCCCTTCAAGGAAGGGGTCTGACTGCCAGAAGACTTCTTTCAGAGCTAAGCTACTTGGAAGATACCAAGATATCCACGGGCTGTAATCAAGCTATTTTAGATCTCGCCCTTCAGTGTCCAAGCCAATGCTTGGACTTATAATTTGGAGATGCACCTCTTAGGAGGTCTGATGGGGGAAGGAGGGAGAGAAAGGTCAATTGGAGACAAACTGCTGTATCGGTCATAATGGGAGAAGCAAGACCTCAGAATAAGCTTGATCAAGTTAAGATGAAAGCATAACCTACTTTAACAAGCAGAGGCTGGGTAAAGAGAGATGCAAGTGATGTATCCAACTGCTCACACACAGCATCAAAACTTGTAGATAGTGAGCAACAGAAGGAAAACCACAACTGCTACAGCTAAAATCAGCACATCTGACTCCCAAGACTGAAAATGAGCATTGACAAGTTATAGCAGGGCTGGAAGCCCAGAGAAAATCCCAACCAGTTTCTGCTCCACCCATCGCTGGACTGTGGGAAGCGGTGGTTGTGTTTCAAACAGGTAGTTAAGTACAGAAATAATGCAGTTTGTCAGTAGGTGTGTGTGTGAATTAGAGGCCCAGAACAGCTCATCTTCACATGCCAGCACAATTTCATGCTTGAGTTGTTTGAGGTAAAGGATGCGTTTGATACACCAGGCCAGGTGTGAACTATAGTGATAGGAGACAAAAGCATGAAGAAAAATAAAAGCTACTTTCTGGACATTCCTAGAGGCCTTGATTATACAATCCTCTCCACGAACACTGTGCAAGACAACCAACAGGTGGCCCTGCTTTGAAAGAGGTACTTACCCTCAGCTTGCAAGTCAGTATGGTAGTTAGGATTGTAGCTGTAGTACACCATGCTGCAAAGATGTGCCCGGGGTACACAACATTCAGTACCACACACTGGCAGAGCATCAAGAACTGAAGGACGGTGTTTGCTAATTGAAGTGTCACCCTTGAGCAAGTTGCAATTTACACGAGACATTGTGTAAATTATGTAGAACATGATTTGTTGGACAAAAGTCAACAGTTTATGTAAGGGAAATCCCGTTTTACTAATCTGTTAGAGTTCTTTGAAGGGGTTAACAAACATGCAGACAAGGGGGATCCAGTAGATATAGTATACTTGGATTTTCAGAAAGCCTTTGACAAGGTCCCTCACCAAAGGCTCTTGTGTAATTTACACGGCCATGGGATAAGAGGGAAAGTCCTTTCTTGGATTGAGAGCTGGTTAAAAGACAGGAAACAAAGGGTAGGAATAAATGGTAAATTTTCAGATTGGAGAGGGGTAACTAGTGGTGTACCCCAAGGGTCAGTCCTGGGACCAATCCTTTTCAACTTATTCATAAATGATCTGGAGAAAGGGGTAAGCAGTGAGGTGGCAAAATTCGCGGATGATACAAAACTGTTTAGGATAGAGAAGACAGAAGCAGACTGAGGGACTCCAAGAAGATCTCACCAAACTGAGTGATTGGGCAACAAAATGGCAAATGAAGTTTAATGTGGATAAGTGTAAAGTAATGCACATTGGAAAAAATAACCCCAACAATATGTACAGTATGATGGGGGCTAATTTGGCTATGACAAATCAGGAAAGAGATCTTGGAGTGATCGTGGACAGTTCTCTGAAAACTTCCATTCAGTGTGCAGCGGCAGTTAAAAAGGCAAATAGGATGCTAGGAATTATTAGGAAAGGGATAGAAAATAAGACCCAGAATATCTTACTGCCCCTGTATAAAACTATGGAACGCCCACATCTTGAATACTGTGTACAGATGTGGTCTCCTCACCTCAAAAAAGATATTTTGGCCTTGGAAAGGGTTCAGAAAAGGGCAACTAAAATGATTAGGGGTTTGGAACGGGTCCCATATGAGGAGAGGTTAAAGCGACTGGGACTTTTCAGTTTAGAAAAGAGGAGTCTGAGGGGGGATATGATAGAGGTCTATAAAATCATGAGTGGTGTGGAGAGGGCCGATAAAGAAAAGTTATTTATTAGTTCCCTAAATAGAAGAAATAGAGGACACCAAATGAAATTAATGGGCAACAGGTTTAAAACTAATAAAAGAAAGTTCTTCTTCACACAGCGTGTAGTCAACCTGTGGAACTCCTTGCCAGAGGAGGCTGTGAAGGCTAGGACTGTAACAGAGTTTAAAGAGAAGCTAGATAATTTCATGGAGGTTAGGTCCATAAAAGGCTATTAGCCAGGGGATAAAATGGTGTCCTTGGCCTCTGTTTGTCAGAGGCTGGAGAGGGATGGCAGGAGACAAATTGCTTGACCATTGTCCTCGGTCCACCCTCTCTGGGGGACCTGGTGATGGCCACTGTAGGTAGACAGGCTACTAGGCTAGATGGACCTTTGGTCTGACCCAGTACGGCCGTTCTTATGTACGTTGTCAATGCAAGTGCTGTACTATGGAGAGTTTAAGATTGAAGTGGGCCCCCTTGTTTCAGTTTAAAAGTGCCCTGTGTCACCTTAGGTAGGTTATCAGGTAAATTAAGGCCATTCCTTAGCAATTAGCTAACAATACCGGGCACTTGTGTGTCACCACAAAGGGGTTGCTCCAGTCTAGGCTAGCTAGTTTTAGCTAGAGAGCTCTCAGGCTCAAAGGGGGGGGGGGGGAAGAGGGAGGAGGAGGAGAATAAGGGTGTTGATGAATGAAGGGCTTTAGACATACCAGGCACTTCCTACCCCTGCCATCTCAAACTCCATGGACCCAATCCTCCTCCACGTGTGGTTGCTTGCACTTTCACGAGCGAATGCTGTCATTCTGACTCACGAGGATTTTACACTCACTCTGCACCAGAGCAGTGGTTTTCGATCTGGGGTCCAAGGGCAACAGGGGTGGGGGTCTGCAGACCACACGCATGATTTCCAAAGAGGTCTGCCAATGAAGATGACCACTGCATAGAACAGTCCCGTCCATAGGATGAATCAGAGACAGGGAAGCAGCTACAAGCCCTGCATTCTGGGGTCCCAACAGCAGCTGCCCCAAGGGACTGGGGAATTACAGGGGCCACTTCTCCCCCACGGGTGATGGGAGCCAGAGCAGTGCAGCAGCCAGCTCTGCCCTGCTGCGCTGTTGTCTCCCAGACCACTACATGCCGCTTCTCAGCGGTAGCGGGAAGCTAAGTGCCCCCATTGCAGGACACACTGGTTCCTGCAGCCCATGGAGAAGTGAGGCGCAGCAGGCCAGGAGGGTAGTGGAGTGGAGCAAAATACTGGGCTACTTCAGCTCCCCTGCTGCTGCCACACCAGGCCCATGATCCCCTGGGTCGCACTGCTTGGGGAGAGGGGACAACACAGAGCATGGACAGGGCCTGCTACGGGGAGGGAGGGGGGTGGGTTGCCCCAGGCCCTGCACCTTTGGGCACTGGGGGGGGGGTGTCCCAGGACCTGTACATCCCCCCCCCCCCATTGGGCCAGCCTTGCCCTTGCCCCAGTACATGTGACTGCACAGACCAGTTCAAGATCAGGCCCTGTAAGCGTGCCTACAGTTCGCCTATTTGCTAAAAGCTATCCTGGATTCCCTGCTCCTCAGCTGGAATTCCATAGCTGCTGGAGTTCAGATTCAGATCAGTCTGGAAGCTAGAAGGAAGCAGGAAGCCTTCCCTCCACCCCCTCACCTCCAAGTCAGTTCTCCTTGCAGGAAAAAAAAAAAAAAAAGCTGGCCCTTCCGTTTCTCGCAGTCATTGGAGATATTTTGCAATTTCAGAAGCAGCGCTAACTCTGCACGTAAGGATCTTTTTAAGCACTGAAGAAAGCCGGATGCACATAACACACTGCAGCATGCAAGTCATTTACAAGAGTAACACAAAAAAGATATCCAGGCTGCAAGACTTATCAATAAGTGCTTAATGTCCCACCTTCACTTTGACTTTTGGGGGGCTATGTTGAACACTTATGGGTAGATCAACTTGAAACTGGCAGAGACAGCAGCGGTAAAACAACCAATATTGCCTATGAACCTATTTTGTTACCCTGGGTGTTTATGACTTGGACCATTTTTTTAAAAAATTGAGAGTGTCACCAGTGTTCAGGTGGGGTGTTTTTTTGGGGGAGGAGGAGGGGAATGTTGAAGAAACGGTGCAGCTCAGCAGCTCGTCTTGTGCATTATCATGTGAACGCCAGTGTCCTGGGGAAAATGAAGTCATAATTCCCCTGTGACCGAGCAATTTCCCTCGGCTGGAGATTCCTTTGTGCGCCTTGGAACAGCTGAGAGCTGCAGAGTCAGGCACAGCAAGGGGGACAATGAAACCCAGCCAGGAGCAAAGAACTGCCCGATGGACCAAGCACCCACTCGCAGCGATGCTCAGTGAGATCGGTTCCGAGGCTGGAGCAGGGATCCAAACTGGGGGCATTAGAGAGGGTGGAAGAGGGTGGGTGACCCCCCCCAAAAAAAGCTCTAATAAAAGGGAGAGGAGCCAGAGCCAAGTGACAACCCGACACAAGCCAGCATCCCCATCAGTCCTGGCCCCTCTGGCCTGGGGGCTGAGCCTAGGTCAGCGAGAGAGCCCTGCAGCCCCAGATGCAGGAGAAACAACCTGCCAAGACTGGGGGGAGAGGAGAAAAACGCAGCCACAATAGCAGGAGAGACTCGAGCCGGTGAC